ATGAGAGTGAGGCTTGTTGACTTTATCTGTGTAATTTGCTATCGCTAAGAGGCTAGTCCCGTTGCTATCGCTAAGAGGCTAGTCCCGTTGCTATCGCTAAGAGGCTAGTCCCATTGCTATCGCTAAGATGCGTTTTGTTTGGCCTACTACAGGCAGCCTTGTGTTCAGCCCATATTTCATTCCATATACGACTTACTGTCAAGCATTGTGGTTGTAGGTGGATGTAACTATTTACTATGTTTATTCTCTGAATCGTTGCAATCTGCAGAGGTCTGGTTTGCCAATGTATATACAAGCCAGAAATTCATTTATGGTCTTAGGGTGCCATCTAGTGGCCATGAGGTTATGGCAGATTGTATAACATTACGCTGGAAACCCACAGTACTGTATAAGGGGTACACTGCTATCCATAGTGGTTAATACAAATGTTTGTTCTTTCTGTTTACAGATGACCACACACACACACATACCCATATACACACTCACACCCCCGTTACCTGCATGTGAATACTGTAATGCCTCCCTACCAACGCTGTACATCCTGTTGATGTCATCTGCCACCTCTTTAGTAAAGTTATTTGAACTACATCACTGTGGAGTACCATTCCTTCTGACCGAGGACGACTCAGTTGAAGCGTGATCAGCAATCAGTGCAAACATACATTACAAGTGGTCCTTCGAGCCGGAGTCGCCTTGGCTGAGTTAATGAGATGGCAAACCCTCAGGATAGAGGTGCATCGAGTAGCTCCAAGTAGTTCAAGCAGCTCCGACTATGAAGAGGATGAGAGATGGCAGAAGATGGAATCAGTTTGGAGCAGTGTCCTCCAACACATGACTCAACTGCAAGTGTCTATGGAGGAAACTCGTGGGACATTACTGAAGCGGGTGGAGCGTTTGGAGCAAGCTTCTAAACCTGGCAGTCCTCTTCCCCAGAAACAGGAGCGTTAGAACAACCCCAACATATTTCCTCCATAACAGAAGTTGCACCACTACAACCTAGCAATGAGGTGTTACATGACACCACAACACCGGCGAACATGCCGACGCCAGTGGAAACATCTGCTCCATCACCTCCCCGTAAAGCGAGCCTTCACATTCAGCCAGTGCTGCACCCTGCCACTTATGTAGCTGCATCGACGCCACTCAGGAGACCTGGGCGATGCACTGCTGAACCCTTCTCATATCAGCGATCGGAACATCAGCTCCTGATAAACAGGCCAGGCCAGGTGCAGCTATTACATTCTGCATCCCCAGCTGATCAGCCACTACAACATGCTCATCTTTCAGTGCACCAGCTATCACAGGCTGTGGACCCAATGAGTCTGCAGCAGATGTCACATCCCGCTGCTCCTGTCTTCCAAGTCAGACATCCAGCTAATCCTGTGTACTTGCAGCAACCTTCACGTCCACCAGCGCCTGTGACCCAGCCATCACAGTGGACAGAAGCTCATCGCCCTGTGCCCACCATACTGCATCCTGAAGCTGTGCCTGATCCAGCTGGCAAGCACTATGTTCCTTATCCCTCAGGCAGTCACTACTCATCATCTTCCTCTGCTGAACACCATAATCCACAGGTTGCCACACTCACACCCCCGTTACCTGCATGTGAATACTGTAATGCCTCCCTACCAACGCTGTACATCCTGTTGATGTCATCTGCCACCTCTTTAGTAAAGTTATTTGAACTACATCACTGTGGAGTACCATTCCTTCTGACCGAGGACGACTCAGTTGAAGCGTGATCGGCAATCAGTGCAAACATACATTACAGTTGTCCTGGTACGTTTATGGGCTCAGTCTCATTTAAGGTCAAACTAAATGAAACATGGAGTCAGTTTTTAAAGCCCTAAAGAACAGGGTCAGAGATTAAATTTGATCCACTGTGACAGAAAGTTTTGTATTTATAGCAACCCATGAAAACATCACAGGCTGTGTCTCACACTAAACACAGTCTTTACTGAATACACACTGCAGAATCAGGTTGCATGGGAAAAGCACCACTCTCTGGGTAATGATAGTTTATAGCAGATATAAGCTGTAATTCTTAGTAATCATACAAGGTTTTTCCACAGAGGCCTGTGGGAAGAGACATTTGCTGCAAGCAAGGAAGCAGAATCGACTCCACATGGAAGCAGTTGCTACAGTACTGTTCAAAAGTTCTGAGTCACCCTTCATTTTTCTTATATTTTGGAGAAAAGTAAGAAATTTGGGCCACTTTTATTTCCTTTAAGTGGTTTCACGAATTGTTCTCCGGGCTTTTTGAAGGATATTTTCCTTGGGGGAGGCCAATCCATGACTAAAAGTCAATTGTCAGCACCAGTCAGATGATTTCCAGGTGGTCTAACATTGTGGATCCAAATCTGATGGTACTTCTCTGTCTCCAACACCACCGGCTGAAATGCAGTTTCAAACCATGGCAGAGCCTCCACCGTGTTTCACAGATAACTGCAGACACTCCATGCATATTGACAATGATTTAAACCAAACATTTCAAGTTTGGTGTCATCACTCCACAAGATGTATTGAATCTGTTTTTGTCCAGTTCTTGTGTCATTTGTCATGCTTCAGCCTGTTTCCCTACCTAATGGCTTCTTGACAGCCACCTTTCCACTGAGACCATATCTGATGAGGGCTTCAGGAAACAGTAGCTGGATCAACAGACAGTTGCGTCTCAGGTCCTATTTCAGCTCAGTCTGCTGTAGATATTTTTTTAGGCCTGTCACTACTTCTTTCATCCTCCACTTGGCCAGTTTCTTCCAACTCGGCTGGGTGTGGAGTGTTTCCTTTTTAGGCATAAACTGCACAACCCACCTACACATGCCAAGTTTTAGGCTAATAACTCTGAGTGCTCTTGTCTATGCTGGATAAATGTTTGGTTCCTCAGTCTCGTCATGCTGCATTTTTCTAGCCTTTTAGGGTTGTGGGCATTATCAATGTCATGTATGAAAGATACACAACAGAACAGAAATACAAAGAACACAAAGAACTTTAATTTGGAACAACAGCAGAAAGAGTCAGCTCTGAGATTAAACAGAAACATTCTTTGAAATAAATTAAACAGCACAAACGTGGCAATAATTAAATAATAATATAATACTTATTTTTTTGCCTAAGTTTCACAGAAGGCAGCAGAAATAAACAGCACAAACAACAAACAGCATAAATATGGAGCTGCACTGTCTACATGTTGGCGGATCCAGAACGTCAAATGAATATCTGCAGTTTCAAGTTTCAGTTCATAGCCGTTCACACCCTAAAGGGTGGATCTGAGGTAACCATGAATAAAAGGAGTAGTGAGACCAAGTTTGATTTAGATCCATGATCACTGAGCTATTTTTAATTAAAATTTTAATTCCAATGTATAATCTATTAATAGAGTCTCCATAAATTATGTTTTTGGTACTTCAGAGGTCTTTGGTGTCCTTCCAGTCTTCAATGTCTCCAACATGTTTTTCGACTCAGTTTCTACTTCAGTCCTTCCACATGATGTGTGACTGAACTGTTCCCACTGAAAATGTCTTTCCAAGGCTGTGGGTTGGAAATATCCAGTAAACTGTGACCAATAAACCAGCATGTTCATTTCAGTTCAACACAGTGAAAACCATGAAGGACTTTCCCACTTAACCTCCTAAGACCCGAACTCTTCCACAGCATGCATTTTTAATTTCTCTTTGATATTTGGGCTGATTGGGACCCGATGAATGTAAAAACAAAGACTTACCAGACTTTTTCTTTACCTGATTTTTGTTTCTAAGAAAAATGAGAGCCACATACGAGCATATTTATTTAAAATTTCAATAGAACAGTAGCAGTATAATGTCCTCATAAGTGAATATCAGGCCCTTGTAAAGAAAAATTGAGTATTTTGTTCAAAATAACCCAAAATGTGATGTTCACATATGTGGACGCCAGGTCCTAGATTAAATTTGTCCACTGGAGGTCATTCAGAAGCTTACTGAAAGATTCAAGGTGACCTTGACCAGCAAGATGTACAATTTAAATAAATGAGAACATTAAACCTGACAGTAATAAATAATGCTCTTTATCCTGCTAAGTGTTGATCTCCAGACTGAACTTCAGGTCTCTAATGAAGTCCAAGCAGTCCTCCAGTGTTTGACAGAGAGCTACAAGTGAAAAAAGAAAGTACAAAGAGGGTGAAAGAGATGGACCAAAGAACAAAACTGCAACGACATGATAGAGTCACATTCAAACTAGCCTCTAGTCTCTCATCCAGATCACCACACCCTGAACCCACTGCTCCACCCCTCCCCTGCAGCTGAGCCACAAACCACACCACAACTACAAAGAGGTGAAGCTTGGACATCTCTGCTGGCACATCCTCCTTTGAGCCTTTGAACTCAAAAGTTAAAAGTTGCAATAAATATTCAACTAGTGTACAATTATAGAGGATGAACACATCCATAGAAATTGAAACTGTTTTTGTAGCTGGCTATGAAGACGTGGATTTCTGCTGGCTTTTAACATGACAGTCTGTGAGGGCTGACTTGAGTAGATGAACTGCAGTTTGGGGCATTTTCACCCCTGCTTGGCATTAGCTCAGTGTACATGTTGGTTTTTAAACAATCATTAGGGTTAGATCGAAATAATGTTGCTGACAAGGAATGGAAAATAATTTAACCATTGGTTTTAGACTGGCTACTTCACTGCATCTGAATCCAATTTAAAGAATAACTACATGTGGCTTGTTTCATATATTTACTGTTTAGATATCCAGATTTGCACGCTGTGTTTTTTCTGATACAACACTTGAGTCTTCACCTGAGGTCGAAGTTTAAATCAGACTCCGTTTATAGAAGTGACCTTATGATGGGTCTCAGTGCTGCTGGGCCAAGTGTCTTCCTGTGGCTGCTGGTTTGAACCTCCAACCTGACTATCAGGATCCAGCAGAGCCAGAAAAGGTAAATCTCCAATGCTCTCAGGTCCATTAACACCAACCCTCCTTTGAACTCCTGGAATTGTTATGGTTGGTTTGGGTCACTTTGTCGCCTTGATGCTTCTGTTGAAAGAAGTTGAATAATAAGTCAGTCTGATGGCAGAAGAAGCAACAACATGTTTGTGTTTGTTTGTTTCTGATATACATTTTATTTGACGGCGAGAGAAATACGCAGTCACAGCCACAACCGACACAAAGGCAGTAACTACGACAACCAGAAAGACCCTGGACCGACCTGCTGATATATAAAAAAGAAAAAAAATGAACAAGGTCACCACACAAAACATCTCACCCAAACAAAAACAATGCAGAGAAAATGTGGGTTGTTATCTCACTATTTCTTGGAGACATCTCACGAGGATCTGGAGTTTGGAAGTTTCTAGGATACACGGGACTCTCTGTCGTAGAGGTCTTAGCGTACTTTGGATCTAAAATATAGTCATGATCTGTTCACATGAAGGTTTGGAAATGAGTTGAAAACAAAAACGTACCAAAACAAATCTTCTCACCGACTACAAGTTCAACAACAGCAGCTTTCACTCCGCTCTGCAGCTTGGGGATGAAACATCTGTATCTGCCGTTGTCTTCCTCCGACACGTTCAGGATCTTCAGTGAAATGTTCCCGTGTTTCATGTCGTCCATGAACAGCTCCGTCCTCCTGAAGTACGAGGCCATCTTCATGTCGGGGACCTCCTGCCTGTCCCTGTACAGGTGAACGTACTCCACTCGGCTCAGCCGGTCCGACGGGTCGGGCTTCAGGTCGGGTTTGGACCACTCCACCGTCAGACCCTGGACATCGAACATGGGCTCCAGGTGACACGGCAGGATGACATCATCACCCGGAGCGGCGATGATTGGAAGATTTGAACCAATCACCAGAACCTCACCTGGAAATATGGAAAATTTAACGTCTTGAACTCCACAGACCCCTGTAGAGTTACACACTGACGATATAAACGCTAACAACAGTTGGCTCTGCCACTTTATACTGTAAAGTGAAAACTCTACAGTGATCCGGAGAAATCAAAAGAACCTCTAAGAAAAAGCACTTGGTAATAAAAAAAAAAGAACTTTATTTTAACAGGAAGATTTCTCTGACAGAACCAGGCTCAGGGAGGTGCAGCCTCATAAAGAGCATAAAGATTTCTACTGAATTACGTTTAACTGTGTCATGGTCACCTTTTTGTTTTTACCACTGAACAGCTCATGTTAGCATCCTGACATTAGCGAGACTGGACTGGACTGCCTTTGTTAACGTGTGATTTTAACCTCAGCAAATAACCTGTTATTATAGGAGTCTGTGCAGTAAATACAGACACTCTGTGATGTTACTCATTCATTTAACTCTTTTAAATAACAGCTGTCAACTGTGACTGAAGACACAGTGTTAGCTGTTAAATGACTGTGTAGAAAAGTAGTTTGTGGTTCCAGCCTCGTCAACTTTTATTTTAAACTGAAGACAGCTGCTGCCTCTGGGAGAAATATAAACTTCACGCTTAAACTGTTGAGTCATGTGGAGCCTAAATGATGTGACACTGAAATATTGAAGAAAATAAGTCACACACATCTCTGAGACCAGCCAACAAACTGAACGAGTATCTCTGAGCAGCTACAGATTCATCTGAGATGAGACACGTGCACATTCATCTTAGTCAGTATTTTTTGAAGCTTTTAGCTCTGCTTGAATGTGTGAGGGGGTTTTCTTGGTTTCTTCAGATTCAATACTTTGAGTCCTTTATAAATGTACATGTTCTAAAGCTAAACTTTCTTTCTAAAAAGAAAATTACTTAATTTTGTGCTTTTATGACTTTTGTATGTTTTAAATGTTGCTATTAAGTTGGAAAGAAGGTCTCTATCACAGATAGCTGTAAATTCCTTAGATATCAGGACACAAAGACACGACACATTTTCAGATAATCATCGGTTTTTAATCTTTGATTGTTTGAAGTTTATTGACATTAAACCTCCATAAAAGTACCAAACTTGACAGAAAAACTTTGCTCATCATGAATGCAGAAGTTACCTGTCATCACCTTCAGTGACGCCACAGTAAGAAGTAGTGGCTCTACTGAATCTGGCAATCTGGCCCAAACAGCTATTATGTTATGACATCTTTCTTAAAGTTATTTGTTGTGCAACGTTTAATTAAGATCATTATTTACCTTGAACAGGAGTCCTGACGATGAAAGCCGAGCACAGGATTAAAGTCCAGAGTGGAAAAGGGAAAAAAGAGTCCTCAAAGTGCGATTTGTAGACACACATGATGAGAGCAAGCTCAGACAGTCTGTGGCTGAGAGAAGCAAATCTTCTTCTTCTTCTTCTTCTGTACAGCTGCAGTCAGGTCTGCCTCCTACTAATAAACGATGCAGCCCCTCCTTACCGCTCATGTGAACATCCAGGCTGTGAATGGTGTTCATGCCGTAAATCTTTTAGCTGTCACAGTCTGACTCTTCCTCATTTTATAACTCGAGTGGCTTTTAATTAGTCTCGTGTTTCTAAAACCGCGTGTTTAGTTGGGTTTGATTTTTCTTTGGGATTAAAAGAATCTTCAGCTTCTTACTGATTGAATAATTAGAAACCTTCAGATATATCAGTATAAAGGAATGTTCAGGGCCAGCTGTAGACACGATAACTGGCGCCTGATATCCGTCATGGCCACCTCGTAGCTCAGGGCCTGCAAAACAAGCTTCGCCCCACAAGATTTAACTGGATAGAAAGATGAACATTCTCATATAAAACTCTGTGAAGTGCCAAGAGGCTTACTCTCTTTTGGGAAGCCGACCACAGCTCCAGGCTAGATCCAAGCTAAATTTGAGGTTGAATTTATGAAAGTAAATTCTTACTGTTCCATTTGAACTAATATACGAGTCACATTATGACTGAGGGAGATGAGTGTAAAACACTGAGTTCATTATTTTCTCAGTTCAGTTCAGTTCAATGTTTTTTATATAGCACCAAATCACAACAACACTCGCCTGAAGGTGCTAAACATTATCAGCTAAAGATCTTAAAATAATGAGTCATGTGGAATAAAAACCCACGTGAAACAAGAAACTATTCTTCCCAGACTGTCTCGCCCAAGCATTAATCCTCCCTCGCACATTTTCTCATCCATTATTCTGTAATGTTGCCTAAAGTTTAGTAAAATTATAATGCATGGGAAAAACAGGAGTTGTGTCACTCTTGTGAGCAATCATATTTTACTGTAAGTCTTATTAGTAATATGAGTGTTTTCCCCATAGAGGCTGTGAGGGAAGCAGGGAGGGTCACAGATTGTCTTTAAACTGCATGCAAAGCGAGGAAAACTAGCTCGCCACAGAGCGAGAAACTGTACAGGACATGTAAATACCAAAAAACAAAGCTTCAGATGATGGTTCTGCTTCAAATGGTGTAAAAAAGCACGTTTGAGACCAATGATTTTAAAATAGATATTCACAGAGAATTGAATATGAGTACACACACACAGTCACTGTATTCATATAAAAAATAACTTTATTTAAATCCATCCGAGAATGAACTTTATATAAAATCTTCAAAACTGTGAACAGTCCCAGTATCCATCTGTACACAACAGAACAGATGCACAAAGACACACAAAGACACACAACTTTAATCACAACATGTCTGCTCTACTCTTTTATAAGCGCTGATATTTTGTTGCATTTCCATGAGAAACAAGGAGAATGGGAGCTAGCTGTGTCGTTTACCAGAGGTAGATCAAATGTACATGACGAAATTATCACTGATAACTGCAACAAAAATTTAAATCAGAATCTGTTTGTATCTTTATTTTGTAACTTAAAATGAAAAAATATAGACACTTCTAGTTTTCCTTACATAAACCGGAGCTCTGTATCAGCTTAAGAAATGCATTGACTCTGTCGTAGAGATCTGCCCACCAGCCAATTTCAAGCTAAATTTGATAAATTAGTTTAAAAACATAAAGTCTCATGTGAAAATCAGTTACATGATGTCATCCAGGACAGCTTTTGTAAGTAAACACTTCAGTGTCACGATAACCGACCTGTTTTGATTCAGACTTGCATTAAACTGATTTGGTAAACATGAAGAAACAAAAAGTCCTGAATGTGGTTTCCAAACTTTATGGTTACATCAAATCCTGTTGATGTTTTTACAATCTTCTGCATCTCCAAGATCCACACTGATAGAAAAATCTTTTTCCAACACACTGAGCTGGAAATGTCCAATAAAACTTTCTAAATAAAGCAGCAAATCGATTTCAGGGAGGACTTCCTCTTTTAATTTGTCCATCACTAGTAGCTTTTAGGAAGAATTACTTTGTCCTTAACTAGTAAGGTGTAAAACTTTAATAAGTTAGAATTTTAAGTCTTCAAGTTAATACAAATCCATAAAAATAAATATGATCTTCATCCTTCTACATCTTGAGCAAAGGAGGTTTTCTTCAGTCTTGCATTAAAGGGACTAGAAAGTCCTTAAATCTTTAAATGTTCTTTTTCTTTGAAAATGAGCTCGATAAATAAAATCCACTGCCTTTATGATGACCTCAGTGCTGCTTGGCCCGAGTGTCTGCCAGTGGCTGCTGGTTTAAATTTTCCACTTGACTGTGAAGATCCAGGAAAGATAAATCTCAAATGGTCTCGGCTCCATTAACACCAACGTTCGCAAGGCACCTGGAATAGTTATACTTGGCTTTGGGTCGTTTTGCCTTCTGAAAGCTTCTGTTGAAAGAAATTGAATAATGAGTCAGTCTAACAGGAAGCAACAACATGTTTGTGTTTTATTTGTTTCTTACTTACATTTAATTTCTGATGAAGGCAGCGAGAGAAACACGCAGAAAAAGCGACGACAACCAGAACCGACATGAAGGTGATGACAACGGCGACCACAGAGACCCTGGATCGACCTGCTGACGTAGACGAGAAATAAACAAGGTTACCACAAATGGACAAAAAAATGTCACCCAAACACAAGTGACAGAGAAAATTTGACTTCTCACCGTTTGCTGGAGTCGCGTCCTGAGGATCTGGAGTTTGGAAGTGCAATGGCGTCTCCGTCGTGGAGGTTTTAGCAAAATTTGGATCTAAAAAGACCATAAACACTAGAGTTATAATAAGCTGATAAAATGAGACTGAAAGTTTGGAAATGAGTTAAAATAATACACAAAGCATGATTCCAAGTCTGAAAGTTCAGTTTGGATTGAACAAATCTTCTGACCGACTACAAGTTCAACAACAGCAGCTTTCAATCTGCTCCGCAGCTTGGGGATGAAACATCTGTATCTGCCGTTGTCTTCCTCCGACACGTTCAGGATCTTCAGTGAAATGTTCCCGTGTTTCATGTCGTCCATGAACAGCTCCGTCCTCCTGAAGTACGAGGCCATCTTCATGTCGGGAACCTCCTGCCTGTCCCTGTACAGGTGAACATACTCCACTCGGCTCAGACGGTCCGACGGGTCGGGCTTCAGGTCGGGTTTGGACCACTCCACCGTCATACCCTGGACATCGAACATGGGCTCCAGGTGACACGGCAGGATGACATCATCACCCGGAGCAGCGATGATTGGAAGATTTGACCCAATCACCAGAACCTCACCTGGAAATATGGAAAATTAAACCTCCCGAATTCCCACAGACCCCTGTAGAGTTACACCGTGAAGACCTGAAGATCATTAACAGCCCCATGAGTCTTTGTGCTGTTACTGCAGAAGTGTTTCTGGGACCAAATTAAACGAAACAACTACTCCTCAGTATATTTGGTAAAAAGAACTGTTTAATCCTTCAGTTTAAATGAAGTAGTGACATATCTGTGAAGGTTTTCAGCCATCCAGATTATCGTAGTCTCAAGCCCTTGCGTTAAAGGCTGCCAGAATTATTTTTCCCGTTTTATGTTCATGCAGATGCTTTAACTCTTATTTGAAACACCTGGAACATCCTGGTCACACTGTGGCACTTTGGCTCTTAATAAACCATGTTGGTTGGCTGGAGAAGACCTCTTCGAAGAACCAAAACCATTCCTACTGTCTTCAACTCAAGCGTTTATGTAAGGAACGTTTGGATTCGGGGAATAAACAAAGTCATGTTATTTTTGTTATGTAACATGCAATTTGTTTTTGTTTTTTTTAAATATGTGATTTTTTTTTTATAAAGAGAGAATGCTGATTTCTGTTGGACTGAAATATCTCATCGTCTTGATTGGATTACCATCTAATATTTATGTCCCACCCGCAAGGATGAACTGTTGCCTGTAACTTTGTAATGAGATTAAATCTGCCTTTTAAACAGTAAATATTTTAATTTCATTAATGTATCACTTTCATTGGATTATACTTGGATTGAGCTTTATTTAAATGTTCATTATGTCTGTGTAAGTTGTCAGTCATCCATGTTCACATATTGGACAGAGAGGACAGATGGTTTGAAAGAGGAGTGAAAGACGCCATACTGTGAGCGACTGTCTTTGAACAGAGGCGGTGGTTTACGACACCAACTGTCTGCTATCTATAATCCAGTTTTGAGATCCTCCCCAGACACCTTAACGCCCACTCACATCTTGCACCAGTCGATTTCAATGGATCACATGATAGGATGAGGCAAGGTCTCACAGCGGTTTCACCCGAAACATCTGGTGATAATTGTTTTGAAGGAAGGAGGGTTCAGGGCTTAAGCAATCAGCATCATGGGCTCATCCGGTTAGAATAAGAAAAAGCAGCCATCTAATTCAGAATTATTCTCAGGGTTCTCCTTTTATTCTCAAATAAATAAGGCAAAGAAGGAAGGAAACAAAGACACACATGGACTGCCACAGCTCAGCTGCCGCCCCGTGTGGAAGTGAAGAAAGAGTGAGCCAAAAGTGAATGCAGTCCTTATATAATGTGTGACATATAATGTGTGACAGGTGAGTGCAATCGAGGACAAGCACCACACCCAATCAAAGGTGAGAGAACTAAACAAGGTGCATCTGGTGAAGTGAGTGGGTGTGCTGGGATGTGCCAAAGGGTGGGTCTCTACAACAGCCGCCCCCATATTTTCTAGAGAGAAATATGTTGATATGGTCAGGATCGATCTTCGTCAGGAAGCGGGGGCAGGGGGATCAGACAGGAGACAGGGCAGATATAGGTTTTATCCTGTACTAAGACCTCCACAGTTCTGATGCGGTCATCTGGGCTTTTCAGCAAGCGTGTCACTCTCCCTACAGGCCAAAGGGCACGTGGAAGGTGTGAATCCATAATCATGACAACAGAGTTCTATGTGAGATCTGGGTTCTCCTTCTGCCATTTGGGTCTTCTTTGGAGGGATAGTAGATAGTCTTTTATGAAGTGCCGCCAGAAGTGATCTGCCAATATTTGTGCATGTCGCCATCGTCGTCGACCTAGGAGGTCAGAATCAGAATAGGATACTAAGGGAAGTGACGAATCATGTCGGCCCATAAGGAGAAGGTTTGGGGTTATGGGGTCAATATCCGCAATGTCTGAGGATACATAGCCTAGGGGTTTTGAGTTAAGAATGCCTTCAACCTCAATTAGGACTGTTCTTAAGACCTCTTCAGTGAACATTTGGGCACCAATGGTTCTCTTCAGAGCATTCTTCACAGAACGTATCTCCCTCTCCCAGGCTCCACCGAAATGGGGTGCATGCGGGGGATTGAATTTGAAATGGATTCTTTTAGTCATCAGGACCGGCTGTAGAGTCGGAGCAAGGTTGTTAAAAGCTGCCCGTAGTTCCTTATCTCCTCCTTTGAAGTTAGTTCCTTGATCACATATGATTTCCAGGGGTGTTCCTCGTCGAGAAATGAATCGTTGGAGGGCCATGAGGAATGAGTCTGTATCCATACTGTTTAGGAGGTCAAGATGTATGCACCGAGTGGTGAGACATTTGAATATTATTCCCCACCTTTTCTCCGATCTGCGGCCGGTCTTGACCTTGTATGGTCCAAAGCAGTCTATTCCTGTGGAGTAGAAAGGTGGTTTGAATAACCTAAGACGAGCAGCAGGCAAGTCTGACATTTTTGGAATGATGGGCTGTGCTCTCCATTTCTGACATGCAGCGCAGCTATACTGATGCCTGCGTACTGCTTCCCTTCCTCTGAGAATCCAGAATTTCCGACGTAGTTCAGCAAAAAGTCTTTCTGAACCAGCATGATGCAGTTTGTCATCATAATTTTTGTATGATCAGTTTGGTCACTGGATGCGCCGGATCAAGTACTATTGGGTGAATGACATTCAATTCCAAGTCTGGGCTTTGCCGTAATCGGCCTCCTACATGGATAAGTTCAGAATTCTTGCACAGCACTGGTGACAAACACAATAGACGGCTGTCGGATGAAAGGGGTTTGTCTGACTGCAAATGGGCCAAATCTTCACCGAAACTGTCCAGTTGTGCCTGACGAAGGATTTCTTGTTCTGCTGCAGAAGGAATGTTACCCTTTTGGTTGGAGAGTGAACGAGCCGTGAAATCCAATAGCTCTTGATAGGTTCTGAAGCTGGGTGTGTATGTATGGGAGGGTATACTGACAATACCAAAGAAGTAGGCTTTCTTTAACTCAGTCTGATCATCATCCGGATGGAGATCTGTAACTGTGGGCCAGTTATTCGAAGGTGCATGCAGAAACGAGGGACCCTCGGTCCACCTGTTTGGGCTAAGGAACTCTTTCAGGGATTTACCTCTCGTAACATCATCAGCAGGATTTGTGGCTGAATTGATGTATCTCCAGTCTTGGCTGTTTGTGAGGTTTTGAATTTCTGAGATTCTGGCTCCTACGAATACCTTGAAACGACAGGAATCTGACTGAAGCCAGTGAAGTACAGTTGTTCCATCCAGGATCCAGGAGATTTTTATTTTTTTTCTCCCCCCCTTTCTCACTGTCCCTCTCCCCTTCTGTTTTTCCTTTCCTTCCTCTTTCTTTCTCCCTTTCCTATCCCTCACTCATGTCTGTCCCGTCTGTAACATCTGAAAATAAAATATAATAAATAATAAAAACAAAGATCGATCAAATGGACCAATACGGCAATGCCACGATGATCCATTTGGCAAAGTAAATCCATTGGGTATCCTTGTTGGTCTTCAGACAACAATTCTGATGGCTAAAGAACCAAATGGGACAGGCCAAAAAAAAAAAAAAAAAAAGACAAACGCCGTAGAGTTCAAAGAAACCATTTAAAAAATATATAATAATAATAATAATAATAATAATAATAATAATAATAATAATAAAGATAATAAAGCATTCACACTAATTACCATCAGATTCGAGCACATGATAACGAGTCAATGTACACAAAGAACAAAGAAATATAACCCCTGGTACAGCTGTAAAACGAAACCAATAATCTTCTGTTTATTTGGTGTAACATTTACATTCTTATCTCAAGTTCATTGATCACATGTGTATAAATGAATTGTCTTACCAGAGACGGTGAGTCTGCAGCTGTTGTAGCCGCGACCATAACCTGTGTCCACCTCACACAGGTACAGACCCGAGTCCTCAGTCCTGAGTCTGGACAGCTGGAGTCTGATTCGTCCTTCTCTGAGGGCGTCTTTGTCACTCTGGACTCGTCCTGAAAACTTTTTGTCCTGATCCTCTGAGAACTCGACACCATCAAAAAGATGATAAAAAGTCCAGTATTTATGGCCATTATTCAGGATACAGAAGACCTTCAGTGCTGAGATGGACGTGTCTGGTTTGGTGGTGAACGTCCACTCCAGTGTGATGTTGTGGTTCTCCTCTGCCTGATAGGAGCTCTGTGTCACATCCACTACAAATGATCCTGTTGAGGAGACAGAGAGGAGCAGACACACAACTTTATACAACATCAGAACTTTTTTTCCTGACATGCTCCTGTCCATATTGTACATTACTGACATATATGTGAAATTTCAAACTAATTGAAAATCTTATTGTTTGCTGAGGATACAAACTTGGTTTGACTATAATAAATCAACATTGAAACTGAGTACAAACAAAATTGATAATATTTGGGAATCCCACATATTTGACCAATAGAAAATAAATATATATATATACATAAATACATATACACACACATGTACACACGCACGCACACACATACACACACACATACGTACACACGCAGTATTGTCCCATTAGACTTCCTTGAATTATATATTGTGTACATGTGGGGAAACACATACATTCTGCAAAGAAGAGCAATAAGGATAATAAGTAAAACCACTTCAAGAGAACCAGCAAATCCACTTTTCCTCAAATGTAATATTCTTAAATTTAAAGACTTGGTTGACGTCAGAACTGCACAATGTACAAAGCAGCAAATAAATCTTTGTCCCACAACATTCAGAACTTGTTCCAAATAAGACCAAATACTCATGACCTGGTAGGAATGCTTATGTTAAGCAAGACAGTAGCAAGGACTAAATTAAAATATCCCAGCATTAAATTTGGTCTGCGAAATAAACCGTGCAGCTTGTGAATACAAAGCTGTGGAAGTATTGAGCTGCATTTCATTGCTTTCAATTCTTTGTAGGAAAATGTGAAATGGATGCAGTGGTTTATTGAGATGTGTGCCAACATTCATGGAAATACAGTAAATAAGGTAAACACAGAGTCTGTGCTAATCCAATGAACTAGAACGTAATAGAAACGTTATTTACCTTTAACAAAATCCAAGTGAAGAATTGAAGTCCACAGTGGGACCACAAGGAAAGGCATGAAATCCATGATGTCATCTTCTTAACAATCTGTGGGGATCCAGATCTTCTTCATTTTCACATTCAGGCTGCAGACAAAAATATAACTGTTACATCTCAACACACAGACATGCTGCATGTTCAGCAGCATGTCAGCCGCTACGATACTGACCAACTACTAATGTTAGCTGGTGGCTGCGAGCAACAACACCAACAACCAACAGAAATCTACCAAGTTCAAGAGTGAGGGGAATCCTGAGCAACACCTAAAAATCTCTAAAACGATTGAAAACTAAACTGAAATCAGGAAAATACAACACAGTGAGCAGCATGCAGAGGTAATTTACAGGAACATGCTTTAGAAATCCCCACAAACCATCATAAATCTGTTTTTATTTATTCTGAACAGGAAAGTGTGGTCAAATCTGGCAAAATCAGACAAAAATCAAATGTTGCTGGATTAAAAAAAACTAAGTTTTTCTTTTCTAAATGAAATTCTGTGTAAGAAACTGACTGAACCTCTGTTACATGGAAACATCATCACGGTTTTCCAGCAGAGAAGATTTTACCAACTGTGTTTGCAGGAGCAGCTGACGTCTTCATCTCTGATAAACAGCACATTAGTGGGAAAAGCTTAAACAAATGGTTGGAATTCAGTTGAATCCAGTGACGTCTGTATAGATATTTATCTCTAGGACAGAAAAGTCTGACCCCTCAGACTTCATTCAAAAATGTGGGTGTTTGATGGAGAGTTGCGGTTAGTGAGAGTTTGGAGACCGTTTGGAGGTTTATGAGAGTGAAGAGAGAAAGTCAGGAGAGAATGGAGCCAGCTAAGAAGAGGAGGATGTCCTCCCCTGTGTGGGAACATCTTGATCTTATTCCTCCCAACAAGGTATGTAAATTTCTACAGAAGATGTATTTTCATAATACTGATGGTGCAATACAATTTGTGTTAAGCTGTCTTGACTTTTGTACAAGGTGAAGTGTTTGCTATGTGCCAGGGAGCTGGGATATAACAACAACACCTCATCCATGCTTAGGCACTACAGAGCTTTGCATGAGAATAGGGGGAACACCGATTGTGGAGCAAGACCAGGTGAGCCATCAAATGCAATGATAATATAGCATGCAGTAATGTTACTAAATGATATAACAATATTATACAGCTGTAATAAGTTACGTGTGTGATATTTATATTTGTGCTTTGTCTTTATTGTCTTTCCTCAGGAGAACAATCTCAAATAGATGAAGACCTGGTCAGCATGGTGATGGAGGACTCCCAGCCATTTAGCATTGTGGAGGACAAAGGATTCAAAAGATTTGTTAAATCATTAAATCCTAGCTATGTTCTCCCCACTAAAAGGTCATAAAAGCAGTGAAAATTGAGTTTTTACAGAATAAAATGTGAACAGGCAGGACTGAGGCTCAGTGTGTAGCTGTCCATACCTCAACGTTACAAAAGCACAACCACTGTCCACACCCCAACCACACCTCACCTCACAGTAAATGATCATTTTCCATACTGCCAGTATAAATATACACAGTATACTGCCATCACTACAATATACATGTTTTACACACTCCTTTTGTTGTTGACATTTACAGGCTGTGTGCAAAAGGCCACACTCTTCAAATTCATGCCAACTAATATTTTTACGTCCAGTAGGTGTCCTGCTAGAGCAAATGAAGCTTCAAGAAGCTTTGCACTGGGGTGAACCAATTGGATGAAAAGCTTCAGTGCTTCATGAAGCTTCATCTGCCAATCACTAGCAGAGACTGACGGGGCGACTCGGACTTCCTCCGCTCCTAAATGCGACTGCTAAGTGGCTGTCAGGGAGACGATCTTATTAAGACGTCATGCGTAATTTTGGGGCGTGTCATTGGTCGCCATGAGGACACAACAAAAACATTTCCAGATCTCTTCTGGTTTATCCAGTTGCTAAAGTCCCACACCTCCTGTTTGTGGCTCTGGGACTGAGGTTTACTGGGTTTGCGCCCCGTGTCATGAAACAGAATAACTGAAGCTGTGTTGTAATCACCAGTGACATAGTAGCGTGTAGTATAGTCTAACAGAGTTAGAAAACAGCTTAATGAATTTCCTCAAAATTGATGTGGACAAATACCGCAACTCCATTGTTACTCCAGGTCCCAAATCGCTGCACAGTGCATGCCTCAGCAAAAGAAAATAATCCCAAGATGGAGAATTAAATGTGCAGTTGTATCACACACTGTTGATGACGACTGTGCGCTGTTATCTTTGTACCAGTTGCCAGAGTAAAGAGGGAACCCAGGTAATGTTCCCTCTAATTTTTCATGTATCTGAGCGAACACACAAACTCCCTGAGCGGTCCCTTGGACCACTGTGAGCAACAGCAGACGTGTGCACTGTGGTCACGCCAGCATCAAATCCATCCAGGTTGCACGGTTTATTGAAATAATCAAATTACAGCATTTACATTTATGTTAGACTACTTTTAATTAACTGCTTTAGCCCACTTACAATGAAAATTAAAAAAAATCTTGTTCATGACCTGTGTAGTATGTTAACACTGTTGGAAGTAAAAAATAACTTGAACTCCAATTTTGAAAACACGTGTTTAAAAAAAAACTTATTAAAAAAAACAAAAACAAAAAACTGTCATATGCTGTAGGAGTGTCTGAAACTGCAGTTCACTGAACAAAAGTTCAGTGAACTTTTGTGCTGTCGCTCCCGTGTCGACCTTCTTCTCAGTTTTGGACTCATGCTCATGAGTTTTGCATTTGGGTCCTTATCTGCCTGCACAGAGCTAGTTCATGATAGCATCAGTGCAAAAAGGGCATAAACACAAAGCGCGGACCTGCCAAAACATCAGAATCAGTGAGATGTCGCCTTTCTCACCCGACGGCACGGACACGATCAGGGCTGAAAGCCAACAGCTTTCCAAAACTGAGTCCAGAAATATACAAAAACAGTTCAAAACAAAAAAATGCTGGAGTCCAAGGAGGCAGTGTCCATAGAGATCAGAAGGTCGACGTGGGAGCGACAGCACAAAAGTTCACAGTTCAGCTGTTCCTGGGTGGAAGACGGCGGTGACTCCACATCTCGTTGGCATTCAGATAAAGAGCTTTGTAGTCTTAAAAACTCAATGCACTAAAGCACTAAAACATCTTTGTGTAATAAACTTCATATTAAACCTTTGGGGTCCAGGGTCCAAAACAAAATATCCATCAAGGGCACAGGAGCACAGGGAACAGTCCAAAACCAAATGTCCACCAACAAGACAGCAGCTCAAGGAACAGTTCATTATACGCTATTTGTACTGTTGCACCCAATGTGACCCAGTGTCCTATATTGAGATTCACAGCCAGCTAAACTCTCTCTTGCATCACTTCCTCCAAGGAACAGGCACGTGTTGTATTTGGACAGGATTTAATGCAAAAAAGTGTGAAACTGAAATGATACAGAATACAGAAATGTCACATAAACATTAGCTTGGGTTGAACTTAAGTGGACATATAAAACACATCAAAAGTTTCCAAATCACTTCAATAATGTCATATACCCTCTCTTAAAGGTAAACACAATTAAGAAACTTACTCATATTGCCACTCAAAGGGATTTAACGGAGTGGATAGCTTTGGATCGGAAGAAACACACCATGTCTTGCTTCACTCATGAGCAAACACTTCCTATCACACTTCTTTTAGTGACTAATTGGCTCAACATAGCAAACTGTGCAAACCTGCGCCCCCTATAGGCCTGGAGAAATAACACACAAACAGTTCCAGTACACTCCCCGCCTGGCATTATTTTAAGATTGCCACTAGACCCTATTTACACATGAGACCAATCTCTCAGAAGAAGGATACAGTCCGAAATGGGTCTACAGAATGTCTTTGCAATCTTGTCGCGTGTCACCTTCACTTCCATCTTTCTGACAACTCCATCTCTGCTTGGAAGTGTCTTCACGATGACACCCATAGGCCACTCATTTCTTTTTAGTTGCTTGTCCTTCAGAAGAACAACGTCTCCTTCCTTCAAGTTTGGTTTGCTGCGCTGCCATTTCTGACGACCTTGGAGCATGTGGAGGTACTCCCTCTGCCACCTGGCCCAGAATGTGTCGGCAAGGGCTTGAACTCTCTTCCACTGCCGTGTATATATGTCGGCCTTGGTGAATTCCCCAGGTGGAGTTGGAATCGGATCGAACTTCTGGGTGAGCAGAGCTGAGGGGGTCAGGATTAAGGGAGCGTCTGGATCCGAGGAAACGGGTACAAGTGGCCTTGCGTTGATAATAGCCGTGACTTCCGCCATTAACGTTGTCAGGACCTCGTGAGTTAGAGTAGGGTTTCCTGCTTGTAGGAGCATTGAGTCCAGGATGCGTCGTGAGATGCCTATCATACGCTCCCAGGCGCCACCCATGTGAGATGAGTGAGGAGCATTAAACACCCAGGAACACCTCTGCTTGCGTAGGTAGTCATCCACACTTGTATCACCAGGTTTTGGGAAATGCAACTTTAGGTCCTTGGAGGCACAAATGAAATTGGTTCCGCAATCTGACCTCAACTGTTTGGCAGGGCCTCTGATCGCAAAGAACCTGCGAAGAGCATTGATGAAACTGGAAGAGCTGAGAGTTTCAATCACTTCAATATGAACAGCCCGTGTAGACATGCAAGTGAACAAGACTGCCCATCTCTTACTGTTTGCATGACCACCTTTGGTGCGGCGTGTTGAAACCTCCCACGGTCCAAATACATCGAGGCCAACATAAGAGAATGGGGGTCCGTCTGAAGGCGTTCGGCAGGTAAGTTAGACATGATTTGCTGCTCTGTTCTACCTCGAAGCTTTCTGCAGGTGACACATTTGTGGATTACACTGCTGATAGACCTCTTAGAACCAACTACCCATAAGCCACTTGCTCTCACAGCCCCCTCAGTGAAGTGTCTTCCTTGGTGCTGGGTGGCTTCATGGTGATGTCGAATGAGCAGTGTTGCAATGTGATGCTTCCCTGGTATCAGAAGAGGGTTAGCCTGATGACTCGGCAAGCCAGACTCTGCAAGTCGACCTCCTACTCGCAATAAGTTTTTGCCATCGACGATGGGATGAAGTTTG